TAAGGCAGGAGCTGGGCGCATGCCCGCACCCAGCTTGGTCCCCCTCCATCCCTCAGCGGATGGGTTTGGACTCACACCGCTCCCTCTCAGGCACTCGACTTGGGGGCAAAAGCCTCCCCTCCTGCCTAGGAACTCACTGCTGTGTTCTGCAAAGGAAAGCCAGGAGCACTCAGGTACAGTTACCAGAGGGAAGCTTAAAAAAAAAAAAATAGGAAAAAAAAAAGCAAGGGCCTATTTGGCTGTGGTAAACAAGCAGGTGTGCTGGCTGGCTTTTTTGGGTCATTAGGGCTGGATGAAATCCACTGACTACTGAAAAAGCTTGACTTCCCTCTAAAACTACAGATTCTCCAAAAGACAGAGAGACCCCAGGAAAAAAAAAAAAACCAACAAGCAGCTCTTGAAAATACCTATATTTATTACATCAAAACTCAAATGTCTGACAGTGCACACATTTATTTTTTTCCTTCCAGGTTGCCCCAAATATGACAACAGGAAGGCAAAAGTGTTTGCATGTATCCAAACAAAACCATGGAATAAAAGTCCAATAAAGATAGGTTTATACAAAACTCATATGGTCTTTAATTAAATGCAACATAAGTGATATACACAGATTGATACGTACAAAAAGATGCATAAAAGTATTTTACATTTCTTGTGCCTTTTGTTGAAATGCAGAACATTTCTCTTCGCTACCAATACCATGGAGGGAATAAAACACAGCAGCATGAACTCAGCTCTTATTTACAGAATTTAGATGGTAACATTGTAGTATATTCTCGCTTTTGTAAAAAATACTTTATAAAAGCTAGCTGTTATCTACTGTTATTGAAGAGCTCTGCTAATGTCAGTGAGTATCACTATTCACAGCTTGATTAACCGGTTATTGTTGTACAGTTCAGGCTACACCCGCGATGATTACCGCAGTCAGTTCTGGAGACCCTAATTCTCTCTTACCACATCACCTTTTCTACATCTCCAATGGGCCCTTTATGGGTTTTCCAAATTTCAGTGCTAATGCTGACTGCAGCATTAACACAGCAGGATAAAGACATGGCAACCAAAGGGAATTAAATATAAAATGCTTAACCATTTTATTCTTCAGACTTTTTCAACTTTAACTTTGCCTTGTTTTCACGTGAGGAACCTTTGGCTGTTTCAGCTTTCTTCGCAGTTTCGGCAGTTTTGTTTTTTGGCCTTTGCCTTCTGGAACGTATCAGGTCTTCACGTCCGAGTTCAACCATTTTTGCTTCCCATGACTTCATTTCATTTTCATACCGAACCTTATCATCTTCGGCAAGCTGCAGGTATGGCTGGAAGAAAATTAATAAATTACTGCATGCACATCACTTGTAGGTTTCTGCTGGTTTTACCCGTCAAAAGTCTTTCCACAAACAGCAATGGAATATGCTATATATATATATATATACACACACACACTATGCTGGCATTTTAAACAAAGTATAGATTATTAGGGAAAAAATATCAAATTGTTGCAAATTATTCCACCTTCCTCCCTAGATGCCACTCAAGGTCCATTTCCAGACATTCAGGACTTCCACCCTATCCCACTCACTCACATTTCATCAACGCTGTGAAAGAAATGGTCACTACGGGAATAATGACAATCTTCTTCAAGACGCATAAATAAGATCTCGGAGTATTTTCCTCAGTATTGTATTTTGAGCAACCAAGTTCAAGATTATTACTAATTTTAACTCAAGTTTGTCATTTTCCAGTTAGATCAGAGCCTCATCAAAATCCACCGACATACCTGCTTTTGAGAACTGGACAGCTTTCGCCATGCATCAAATAATTGCTTCAGCTTTGCCTACAGGATATAGCACATACAATACATTAGGATTATTTTAAGGGCAGACTGACCGTAGAGGGTTACGGATGAATGCCACACTAGTGAAAACCAAGTGTAAACTAATGTAAAAAACCACAGTCACACAGGCTTAATACCCCACCCTCTTAATGTAAATAATCAAAGACACAATTCAACAGACAGAACAGCTGAGCTGATTTATAGCAACATGACTACATCTCACCATGCATATTGGTTTCATTTAAACCAAGCCCTAACTTAAGCCAAGCCTACATACGTATTAACCAGCAGTAGAGCCAGATCACCACAGTCTAAAAGAAAATAACCCAAGCAAAGCAAAATCCAGGTACTGAACTATTGAACACTTTCTTTGAAAATGACAGAGTCTAAAACAGATTTCCTGAATACAACAGATTGAAGAACAATCTTTCCTGGCTTACCACGGGTGAAATTCCCTCGCTTTCTTGGAAGTTTTCTGACACAAAAATGTTAAAGCCACTGCGAGGTCTTTTAGGTTTTCCAAGCACAGTCAATTCCTTTAAAAACAAAAAGAAACATTATTCAATCTACCAAGTGTGCATTTTTCCCAAACTAAACACACCATTTGTCTTTATGTGTTCTACAAAAATCAGACTAAAATTTATTTTCTGGTGGTTTATTCTGTAAACTGGACTGTATGTCAAGATGCTCTCACGACTTGCCAAGACTAGTGCTAAACTAAATTAAGCTAACACAGACATTAAAAAAACCCCACAACATTTTAAACTGATTCTTACTTCAGCTAAGTCTTCCAGAAACCAAAGACTGTTACTGAATTCCACTCAGTAAGAAAGTCATGACGACAGGTTTTCTATTCTCTTCGCACGGCTTCGGTTTCTGGTGTGAAATACTGTATGCTTGCAACTTTGTGGGAGGTGAGAAGGTGGAACAGAACCAGCAGATTTCCAGGGCAACAGAACTAGGTTTCTGCTATCAGAATGCTTTGCCTACAGGGATGACGGCGAGAGAGGGAAAGTACAGCAAGTTATGGATGCAATTACACTTGCTGTTTTCTCCAGCCCTAAGACATTCCCACCGCAGCCTGGGTGCTGCAAATTAAGATCTGCTTAGGTATTAGCATGCCAGTTAAATTCCTTGTGGTGCAGTACTCTAAAAAGGATCAGCTGAATCATTTGGATTAAAAACTTCCTCTAAGGAGTCTTTTAAACCAAATTAACTTCCCTTTTGCCAGTGAGGGCAATGTCACACCGGCAGTTTAATTCACAGAAATGAAGATGCAGTAAGTAACCCCTTCAACTGATTTTGCCACTGGACAAACTGCAATATTTTACCTTTACAGGTGGTTTTGTGTCTCATAAACCAGCTAAAAGGGAATAGGCAAGATGATCTGTACAAATAAATCAATAAAGAGCAATAACGGAGATGCCTAATTAGATGCGGCCCTAATTCAACATGTCAGCAGCTGCACAGACAGCAGAGGGAATCCAAAGAAAGGAAGGACAAAAGGCGACTTCACGCAGCTACTACCTCGTAGGGGCCACTGAAGAAACAGATACAAGGCCTTTGTGAAAAGCGATTTCTGAACGTCTTTACCAACCAGCGAAAGTGCTGCTGGTTCAAGTGTCTTTTATTCCCTGTCATTCCTCAGGCAGCTTGAGGAATAGGAAGAAAAAAAAAGCATACAGAAGGTACCCACGAGCTCAAAGTTATGCGCTAGTTCTGGTCTTCGAGCACAGGAAAGCCACTAAAATAACTGCTAATACCAGCAATTATTTTAGTCCATGGGGTTTTTTAGTTTTCGTTTTGGGTTTGTGGTGTGTTTTTCTTATTCTGAGATTCGCTTTTTTATTTCTAAACTTGCCTTGACTCAGCTCTGTATACCAGACACATAGACTTCAGTTTCCTTGAGAAAAAAGAAATTTGAACTTAAAAATACTTACTCTTTTTGCCCTGAACGATCTTCTTTTTGCCAGTCGTCTTCTCCTTTCTTCTTTCAAAGCCGCAGCCTGAGCTGGAGTTAGCTGAGCTTTATACGCTGCCAACTGCTCTTCATATCTTTGCCAGTCTGTCTTTCTAGCCTCCTCATAGACCTACAACGCAAACAATAACCAACCTTAAACAAATGCTTGCAGTGAGATAAACATGGCGCCTTTAAAATTACTGAAAAAGATAAATGGCCTTTTAACACACTAATTCTGACATATTCCAATCGCAGTATCACTGCGACTTACAAGAAAAAAAAAACCTTAACCAAAAAACACAGCCAAAAAAACCCCCCCAAAACCCAAACCTACATGTAGGCAGGGAAGATACTTCTATAAAAACTTAAGCTATTGCTGAGAATTTCAGTAGTTTTCATTGTCTGGTATTCCTCTAGTTGTAGAAGCAACTGATCCCACCCTGCCACCTCGTCCCAGCTTTAGACAGCTTGTTTTCTCAGCTCCATGCACTTGACCGTTAAACGAGCTAACACTTGTACTAATAAAAAAAAAAATATTACAGACTACCCTGAAACACAAGATTTTTAAAGTAAAGTAGCAATTTCAGATCTGTTTGAACTAGCAGAATGGATTCAGAAGAACTCTGATTCAAAACCTGGGCTCTTCCCATGACTTATCTTAGTTAATCTGATACCATCGGACGATCTTCAGATGCAGCTCAAAGCAATAAGAATCTTCCATGCAAGGAGGAAAAGCTGAAGCTTGGTTGGAATGATTACTCTTAAAGTACGTATAGCCGCTGCACCAGGAAGAGCTGAGCCAGGCTACCAAGCACCCAGGTAGACCTGAAAAATCACCATCCTGTTCTCCACCACAGAAACAGAAAGGCATGCTTTGTCCTACGGCACACAGAGCCAGAAGTCCAGAAGGGATGTAAAACCACTCGCATTTTACTGAACGACGATATTACTTTAGCTAGGAAACAGCAGTTAGTTCCTAACTGGGTCTAATTGTCAAGGAAGAACAATCATTACTTTGCTACAAATAGTCAGCAACGATTAGCAATTCATAGAGTTGTTTTACATTATCCCTTGAAACTACCACTCTTAAAGAAACTTCCCTACCTATGGCAAAAAAAGTTTATTAGATTAAAGTTACCTGCACGTGAGGTCTCCGCTTATTATCTAATCAGCGGGAAAAAAAGTTGGTCCTTTCATAAAAATTCACTGAGGTTTCACCTACCTTATGCATATGAAAGCAGAACAACTTTACAATTTATTATACGTGTAATACACACACATACACAATTATGATTCAAAAAGGAGATACTGGTTCCCAGCCGCACAGAGCGAGACCTGTCTCCGACTAAAAATACTAAACACAAGGTCACGTGTAGAAGTATCAAAGTATCTTCCCCTGAGTACTTCAAAGCTCCTAATTCTCCTCAGAATTGTTTTATGTTTGAATCATTGTACGCAAGTGCTTTTTTATTGTTGTTTAAAAAAAACCCCAAACAACACAAAACAACACAGAGGACACCAAACCAAGTAAAACAACCACTAAGACTCTACCGAGTTCAAACTACATACGGCAAAAATACAGACTTACCTGCTTCTGTGATGCTGGTAACTCCTTCCAAGCACCTGCTATTTTTCTAACCAGCTCCACATTGCTCATTTCTGTACATTAAAATTAGAAAGCAAGAAAATAAAGATCAATATTGTATCCTTAGTAAGCTTCTTCAATGTTTCCCGAGGAAAGCTGTCACTAGTATCTTTCTCCTGTACAACTATATTTTCCTCCTTTCATAACACTGATGAACTTACTGTGGCAGTTAAAGGGAACTGTAATATTCTGTAATATTTGGGGGGGGGGGGAAGACCTGCTCTTGGTTCAAACTGGAATGAAACAGGCAGTTACAAACTGAAGCACCATTTCAAAACAGGCAGATATTACCACTCCACAACAGTTTCTGTTTGTTTGTTTTTCTTTTGAGTTGGATCCTTCTCTGTACAATGCAAGATGGTCTGAAGTTGGATGGAGACCGGGGAAGAAACCAAAAGTAAAATTTCCAGTTCTCAGCGTTTTTTTGGCAAAAAGCATCTACTGGATTCTTCAAAGCAATTATAACGTGACCTTATCCACCTGAGACAGCAACCATGCTTGATCTTTCCTTTATTTACAATATTATTCAACAAAAGTAAGGTTAAAGAAAGAGTAAAATCCTTCTCCCACAAACAAAATTACAGTGAATTTGCTTTGTTTTTCAGCTGACTGCCTTTGACTCTGGCCATTTGATGAGGTTTCCAGCCAGGCCTGAATTTGTGAAGGGGGGAAAAAAAACAAAACCAAATATAAGCTATAAGCTTTGCTTTTCTTGAAAAAAAAAAAAACAAAAACAAACAACTTTCCAGGCTTTCCCTCCGTTTCACCCTAAAAGAAAGAGTGGATCTTCCTCTCTCCCACCTCGACAGCGGAAAAGCAGAACTAAGCTCTTATCAATAACCTGACTTCCAGAATTCTGGAAAAACAAAACAGATGGGGAGTTTTTAGTCCAAGTATACTAATCTTAAAACCTTTGAAAACACAAAGCTTTGCCAGTGATGAATAAATTATCAGGTTATTTTTTGAACATTATCTCTACTGGAAAATTCCCCAAAGTCTCAATTTGCGTATGAGATACATTTATTTGCTGGTTAGTTGAATTTTGGAAACGTGGAAAACACTGGTGTGGCACGTAACTGCACTAAACTCTGCAAGTTCAGTTCTCAACCCTTCCAACGGCTGAACTCTTGAACTACTGAGCAAAACTGGGCATTAAATGGTTTTTCCCTACTTAAATTTACCTCGTGACTCGCCCAACATGACCACAGTTCTTTAAACATCTTAACGTTCAACAGTATTTTCAAAATCAGCGCAGCTTTCCATTCTGCTGTTCTGACAAGAAGAGCGGCCGCGTTGCCTACAAATGAAGTTTTCGACAACAAACGTAGCCACGGAAAACCATTTTGCTCTAAATAATGTACTTTTTCTCCTGTATACGTTGAGGCGATCCAGTACACGTAGTTTTTAAATGACTAAGCATCGAAATAATATCATATATAGATTTTTTTTATATCAACGATAGCGTACTTCAAATACACACGTATTTTAAAATTACTGAAAATCGCAAGTCACTGTTAGCACGTGTTGCCCGGGTGAGGGTTTTTCCTCCAAATTTCTTTAAAGCAGCACGCCAGCGTTTACTTTTCTGAGTTATGACGTACAGGAGGCCAAGGCAGTACGTACACGGCGCAATAATTCGGCGATACCGAATTTACCTTTGGTACGCGACGGAAAACCGGCTGCCTTTGGTCTCCTGACGTCAGGGCAACGTACTTTATGACGTTTAGCTTTGCAAAGCAGTAATACTCTGTCCCAGTTTTCTTTTGAAACCGCGCGTTCCGGAGGGAAAACACCGTACGCGGTGACGGGGGCTTCACGACCAGACGTGACGCGCTAAGACGTGTTATTCCCAAAAGCAAGACAAAGCCAACCGCCCGTCCGCTCGGACCCAGCTCCCTCCGGCCCTCGTACCTGGATTGTTTTGCCTAAAAGCAGAATGATTCTCTTTCAGGAAGCGAAAATAGGCCGTCAGGGGCCGCTTCG